TGGGATGGACCTCTGGGTAAGACTGTTGGTGGAACTCACCCTGAGCTTTTTGAAGAAGTAGACCTTGCAGTGCATAGGTCAGACACACACTTTGTGAGGTCAATGAGAACAGCTTCAAGGGTGTACAGAGAGATCTTTGTGGACCCAGCAGTGCCTGGTGAAGCTCAAGTGAAGAATGGAGAAACAATCATCCGGAGTGCTGCAACTACAAACAAAGAAATGTTTGAGTGGTTCAAATGGGACAGTATTGGTGCTGCCTGTGATCCTCAATGTGGTAGATGTCCCCCTGGAGGTAAAGAAATGACCCTAGGAGAGGAAAGGGAGCTAGAAAAAATCAAAGAGTGCCTCACCTATGTGCAAGCGGACAAGCATTGCGGAACCCCTCATTGGGATGCTGCTTACCCATGGAAAGGTGACCCCTCAACACTTCCTGACAACCGACGTGCAGTGGAGGCAACTTTCCTGAACACAGAGAAACGTCTTGAAAGGGAGCCAAAATGGAAAGCTGCGTATAGAGAGCAAATCCATGAGATGGTTTCAAGAGGAGCTGCTGCTAAACTCACTAAAGGCGAAATCGATACTTGGAAAGGACCAACGTGGTACATCAGTCACCTAGTCGCTCCTAATCCTCACTCAACCACTACTCCTGTAAGGATTGTTTGGAATAGCAGCCAAGAGTACTTGGGGGTAAGCTTGAATGACCTCCTGCACAAGGGTCCAGATGTCCTCAATCCAATCAGAGGAGTCCTTCTGAGGTTCAGAAGTCGGCTTCATGCCGCTCTGGGCGATGTGAGGAAAATGTACAACTCTGTTTGGCTAAAGCACAAAGAAGTGCACCTTCACCGTTTCCTCTGGAGAGACTGCCCGGAGGATGATATTGAGGTCTTTGTCGTCGTCAGGGTCAACATCGGTGATAAGCCCGCAGGCTGCATAGCTCAGAACACAACTCCCTATATGAATACTGTTACGACCCTTGTCTGAGGACGTGTCATGTGATTGTGTTTTATGTGCTTTTATGTGTCTCCGATCCGTGTGTGGGTTTCTTTTGTTTTCTTGCAGGATCACATGACAGGGAAACTGTGAGTGGATTGGTTGATGGCGTCTATTTAAACCGACTGGCGCTGGCCCTTTTTCCCTTACTCATCCTTGAGCTAAGGGCTGCTGACACCTTGCTGTGTGCTCTGTGTGGTTTCTTATGTAACCTTTTATTTTTGTAATTAGTAGAAAAATAGAGGCGTGAGAAGCCCTTGTTTGGTTTAAAACATTTTCTCTTGTTTTTGATAGTGAGCTTAGTTTAAAACCCCTGTATTTTGTTTTCTTTTGTTTGTTGGAGGAAAGAGCAGGATCCTCTTAGTTTTGTTTGTTGTATGCTGGGCATTGTTTCCTCACTTCCTCAAAAAATAAAATGCTGCTTTAAAACTATAACCTTTTAGAATTGGCCACATTCTTGGGGATGAGAAGCGAAAGAGGAGCTACAAAACATGCTACGTAATATTAATATTTAATACTAATATTTTATGCCATAGTTGCTGTCATTTGTAATTGTATTTCGATTTTTAGTTCAATAAGAATATTATGTTTCGTTTTTCATGAAAATCATTCAAGTTTTATAGCAAAAGCTATGAATTTTTTGATGTGGGTGAGTGGTGGGAGGGAAGATTGAGAAAGTTAGTCTAATTAACAATGGGTGAAGGATCCAGGATTTTAGTTGATATGGTTTATAATTTATTCAGAGTTTGTACATTTTGAAAAAGTCATGAAAATGTCTGGAAAAGTCATGAAATTTGAAAATGTAATTTTTCAGACCTGGAAAATTACATCTTGGAATCATAAGTTCACCCCAGAAGTCATTGATTTCTTTCCTCCATCTACGATAACAGTACGGTGTTCCCCCACTATATTGTGTCTCCTTTTGCTCCCTCAGTACATTGCAGATTTTATTTATTCCAATCCCTCCTTTTTCACTATATCGCGGTATTTTACGGTAATTCTTTTTTTTTTTTTCATTTTCAATATTTTCATTATTTTTGGAATAAAAAACATTTTCTAACCTACAAAAAAATAAACTCATATATATATGATAAAAAATATATCATATATATCATACATATATATAAGACATTGCTGGTAGCAGGACTCACTCCTGGAGTGAGTCCTGTCCGTCCAGGGGAGAGATGAAGCACGAACTGAACTGTTCAGCTCTTACACCTTGTATTTATGTGATACAATATGTAAAAAACACTTTTTCCGTTTTGGGTGAATCATTCACTCCTTTTAAGGCCTTTCCTGATGTTTGTTCCTGTTGGTCTTGGACACCTGTGCATGTTACATGCATCATGACACATCTTAAAAATCATGTTAATCACATTTTTTCACTTATTGATTTCAGCATCAATCCCTTCTTCTGACTTTTTGTCATAATCATATCAACCATTTTGAGTCAGAGGATCATTCTTTTAGTCTTATTCAGACACATTCCCTATTTTTAACAAATCCATAGCTATTGCTATAAAACTCAAATGATTTTCCTGAAAAACAAAACTAATATTTTTATTGAACTAAAAATAAAAATACAAATGACAGCAATTATGGAATAAAATATTAGTGAAGCAATAGCTTTATGCCCCCCATATGGTAACCACTTCCTTAGAAAATATTTATTACAGAATTGCCACCAGCTTTTAGTTTGTTTCAACATGCCATTATATGTCAGGAGTATTATGTAAGCAATATTTTTATTAAGAAAAAAACTGCCAAAAACCACCTGCGTAAAATTTACACCAGTGCTTTAGCAACAAACAGTATCTGTAGGTTTTGTACACCATCATTCTTTTTGCCAATCATCAGGTTTTCGTGTTGATGACGATGACTGATCTTCCTTCATTGAAGTCTCCTTCCTCGCCTTTTTGTTATTGTTTGTTCTTTGCAGCTTTGCTCTCTTCAGCTGCTGCTCCTTCAGTCTCTGCTCCTTTTTTTGCATATACATAGCCACATTGTCATAGCTTCTCTTGTGCAAGTGCTCAAACCAGAGCTTGGTCCTTGTAGAGGCTGCCGAACAAATGAAACATTCAAAAGGAGTCAGAGTTTCAGAGATTGAGAAAAAAAAAAGATTCTCATAATTCGTAACAAAAATTGTCTAATAATTTGCCTAGCACGTGGAATACTATCAAACACATTATTCCAAATTGGTTCTTAAAAATCAAGTAATCATCAAGTTGAATTCATGGCAGCACTATGAGTAAAAACCTTAAGAAAGCTTCATATGATGTTTATGGTTATTGTACAGTAATTATGAATAGTAGATTATGATGTCTGCAGTAAGAAAGACTGGTTAATGACTCACTTTCAACAGTCTCCCAGACTGGATTAAAAGCCTCTGTAATTCTACTGACTTCCAGGCTCTGAGCATTACACTAGAGGGAATAATAAAGAAAAGTTAGCATGACGTTAAACAAAAAAAAAAAAAACACACTATAAGTCCATATGCTACAACAATTTACCTGCCATTCTCCATCCTTGTGAGTGTAAACATTGAACATTTTATCACTGCAGTCCATCATCACCCAGAGCTTTCCCTCTGAGTCAAAAGCAATGTCCAATGGGCAGTGCGGCAGGGTAAGGACACTGTGTGGTACAAGCTTGTCTTTAACCATCAGCTGGAGAGTAAGAAACTGGATTGTGGGTACTCTGTCGACAACAAAAGCAATAGATCAAGTTTTTGGTGCGGCCCTCTTAGACTTTGAGTTGATGCACTGAAAACACGACCACTAAACAACGTTTCAACAGCAGGAAAAATCAACACGACAATAATAATGTGTATAAACCTGTAAAATCTGGGAATCATAAGATCCACATACAATCTATTAAATGTGACAGACTATAGTGCAGTGTTTATCAAATAGTGGGTTGCGTTCCCTTGGTGGCTGCTGATGCCTTGAACTCATACAGTGGTTTTGGGGTTAATTAGAGTCAGAAAATAATTTAAATCAGCCACTACGGTACACAAGCCAGTGCTACTATAGTGCCAGTCCCAAGCTCGGATAAATGGTGAGGGTTGCGTCAGGAAGGGCATTCGAAGTAAAACTTTTAGCTAAATCAAATATGCAGATCAATAAAACCATTCTGGATCGGTCGAGGCCCGGGTTAACAACGACCGCGAACAATACTGTTGACCTACAGTGTACTGGTGGAAATTGGACTACTGTTGGTCATAGACAAAGAAGAAGAGGAAAACGATTGATTTGGAAAAAAGAGAAAAGAAGAAAAATAAAATTGTTGGTCTGAAGTTTGGAACTCTGAATGTAGGTACAATTACAGGGAAAAGTAGAGAAATAGCTGATATGATGGAGAGAAGAAGAGTAGATATTTTGTGTGTGCAGAAGACCAGGTGGAAGGGCAGCAAGGCTAAAATCATTGGAGGAGGCTACAAACTGTTTTATCATGGTTCAGATGGGAAGAAAAATGGAGTAGGGGTGATCCTAAAGGAAGAATATGTAAGAAATGTGGTGGAGGTGAAACGAGAGTCAGACAGGTTTGTGTGTGTGTGAAGGTAGAAATAGAAGGAGTGATGATTAATGTTGTTAGTGGTTATGCCCCACAGGTGGGCTGTGAGTTGGAAGAAAAGGAGAAGTTCTGGAAGGAGCTAGATTGGATGACAGAGAGCATCCCCAGGGGAGAGAGAGTGGTGATTGGAGCAGACTTTAATGGGCATGAAGGGGAAGGGAACAGAGGTGAGGAGGAAGTGATGGGCAGGTTTGGCGTTATGGATAGAAATTTGGAAGGACCGGCAGTGGTAGATTTTGCAAAAAGAATGGAAATGGCTGTGGTAAACACCTATTTCCAAAAGAAAGAGGAACACAGGGTGATGTACAAGAGTGGAGGCAGGTCCACACAGATGTAGAAGAGGTAATCTGATGGAGATGGAGAGAGACTGTAAGGTGGTGGCAGGCGAGAGTGTAGCCAAACAACATCGGATGGTAGTGCGCAAGATGATGATAGAGGTGAAAAAAAAGGGAAGAGAGTGAAGACAGAACAGAAGATCAAGTGGTTGAAATTAAAGAAAGAGAAATGTTGTGAAGACTTCAGGAAGGAAGTAGGGGCAGTGCTGGGCCGTGTTGAGAAATTCCTAGATGATTGAGAGATTATAACTGCAGTGATTAGGGAGACAGGTAGGAAGGTGCTAGGTATGTCCTCTGGGCAGAGAAAGGAGGACAAAGAGACCTGGTGGTGGAATGATGAGGTCCAGGAGAGTGTGCAGAGAAAGAGATTAGCAAAGACGAGATGGGACAGTGACAGAACAGAAGAGAACAGACTGGAGTACAAAGAGAGGACAAGGGAGGTGAAGAGGGAAGTGGCCAAGGCCAAACAAAAGGCATATGAGGAGTTGTACGACAGTTTGGAAACAAAGGAAGGAGAAAAGGAGTTGTATAGATTGGCGAGACAGATAAATCAAGCTGGTAAGGATGTGCAGCAGGTGAGGTTGATTAAGGACAGAGATGGGAATGTAATTACAAGTGAGGAAAGTGTGCGGAGAAGATGGAAGGAATGCTTTGAGGAGTTGTTGAATGAAGAAAATGAAAGGGAACTTAAGAATGAGGAGCCAGAAACTACTAGGAAGAAGGTAGATCAGATTAGTAAGGACAACGTAAGAAAAGCTCTGAAGAGAATAAAGAGTGGAATGTTCTGGTGCCAATTTATAAGAAGGGTGATGTACAGAGTTGTAACAACTGCAGAGGGATAAAATCGATGAGCCATACAATGAAGATTTGGGAAAGAATAGTTGAAGCTAGGTTGAGGCAGGAAGTGGAGATTTGTGAACAACAGTATGGTTTCATGCCTAGGAAGAGTACCACAGATGCAATATTTGCCTTGAGGATGCTGATGGAGAAGTACAGAGAAGGTCAGATGGAGCTACATTGTGTATTTGTAGATTTAGAAAAGGCATATGACAAAGTGCCAAGGGAGGAATTGTGGTTTTGTATGAGGAAGTCAGGAGTGGCAGAGAAGTATGTTAGTTTGGTGCAGGACATGTATGAGAATAGTACAACAGTAGTGAGGTGCGCTGTTGGGAGGACAGAAGACTTCAAGGTGGAGGTGGGACTACATCAAGGATTGGCCCTGAGCCCCTTCTTGTTTGCTTTGGTGATGGACATATTGGCAGATGAGGTCTTTGAACTATGTTGTTTGCAGATGACATTGTGATCTGTAGTGAGAGTAGGCAGCAGCTAGAAGAGAAGGTGCAGGAGTATAGGTACTTAGGATCAACTGTTCAGAGCAGAGGAGACTGTGGAAGAGAGGTGAAGAATAGAGTGCAGGCAGGATGGAACAGCTGGAGAAAAGTGTCAGGAGTGATCTGTGACAGAAGAGTGTCGGCTAAGGTGAAGGGAAAGGTTTACAGGACGGTGGTGAGATCAGCCATGATGTATGGTTTAGAGACAACAGCAATAGGCATAAGACAGGATGCGGAGCTGGAGGTGGCAGAGTTAAAGATGCTAAATTCACTTCAGTCTATTTAGGGTTGACTCAAATTAACTTATCAAATTATTTGCAAACTGAAAATAAAAATAAAAAAAAACTATATTTTGTTAATTTCTTATTGAAGAATCCCAGACTAACATATTAAACCTGGGTGGCCAATTGCTAAACATTTGCTGTCCAGAAGAAAGCTCTTACTGTTAAAGTAAAAAAGTAAATGAAAAACAATCAGCCCAATATTCGAATAATTATGTAATGTCTCTAAGAAATGTAATTAGTTTTTCCTCCGATAATGAAAACTCCATAACCAGTGCCTGGGTTTTGCCAAATGATTTGTGCCCTAAAAATAGTTTTGGGGGAAAACAGTTGCATAGAGTAAATTATTGTCACTAAAGCACAGCACATCACTGCACACAATGAAATGTCCTCCCATCACCTTAGTGAGCAGGTGGCAGGTCATGTAAAATTTACAGGTTCGTATTTTCACAATGACAGCCACTAGAGGCCACAATAGGCTTGTGTACCAGTATCTGCTACTCCAGTACCACTGAAAATTTATATGTTCGTTATTTTAACATTGACAGCCGCTATAGGGCACTGGTGCGACTTGTACTTATTGTCCGAAAAATACGGTATATGCTGTCTTTTGTCCACCTTGCATGTTCTCTGCAAGCTGAATGCCTGTAGCACAACTGGTTACACGTTAGCTCTTGCCTGTTTTGGTGCCCTGACCGTAGTTGGAATGCACAGGGGAGACTTAGTGATCTGCACCAAGGCCGAAGCTAACATTAGCTCGGGGCTAACTCCCTTCACTTTGTGCTTGTCCACAGCAGAGGTAAACGGAAACAGGGAAGTTGGGGTCTTTATCATCAGCCACTCTGAGCACAACAGAACATAAACAGCATTTTAACAACTCCTGTATAACCAACTCACAGTTCAACATGACAGGGCTTAAACTGCTCCCAACTTTCGCTACCGTTCAAGCATGGGCCCCACGCACAAATACGCACACAGCCATTCACAGATAGACTTGCGCTACTAGTATAACATACAGTAGCCTACCAGAAAAGCCATTGATCGCAAGTGGTATGAACTTCACTAGCCCGTAAAAATCCATTAATTAGCTGCATCATTGTTTAAGCCGCAGGGTTTAAAGCATGTGAAAAAAGGAGTATCTTATAGACTGGAAATTACGGGAAGTGATATTGGATAATTTTCCACAAAACACCAAACAAATTCTTCCACAGCACAAAGGTTGGTAGTCACTGTTCTTGTGTACTTATAGGTTGCATTTTAAAACTGTAAAATTAACAATATTTACACAACGCATAAATTTTCAAAATTTTTACGAAATTTCATTTCGTAAAATGCAGCAATTGAAAAATAATATGACTCACCTTGAACACAGCACACCTATGTGAGACCCATCTGGGGAGCTGATAATACGACACACTGTTGGCTTTTGGCAAACGAGTATAAGAAAAAAAAAAAGAGGAAGTGAATCAAATGGGGTTCATTGTTCCTACCACATTCAGCTAACACACAGCTGTTCAACATTAACACTGAACATAACCAAAATGTTGTTAATTAAATTAAATTGTTTTGTTTTTATGTTCATTCAATTTTCTTATGAAAACATGAAACAACACAATGTAAAAAGGTGGAAATTGATACTAAAATAGCAAAAATGCATTTTCAATTTCGCAGATTAAATTGCTTAAATTTTCATTGATGTTACAGCTTTAAGTAAGGCAGTTTATCCTTAGTGATTTACAGCATGATTACCTTTTCGTTCAACTTGGTTTCAGTCTCCTTAAAAATATTGAGGTCACAGCTATGCAGCCTACATCCAGATTCAATATCCCAAAGCTTCACAGTCCCATCCTGACACACAAAAACAAAACATATTTACTTGTGGATACTCTCAGTCATCTAGGTCATCATAACGATTTCAAAAGTAGGCAACTGGACTCACCTTAAATAAATTGAAGACGTTTAGCCTCTCATCCAAGAGGCTTCATCAGTTCTACTGTCCTGGTGGGGAGTTTCCAGGTCTTTATCTATCCACTCCAAAGAGGGGTGTGGTGTTGAAAAAAGTGGCCCAGGGCTCAAAACAATATGACCTTTAAATGGTCATGTGAGTCGTTGGCCCCATGGTGGATTGTTCCCCCTCCCTGTCCTCTGGGTGGGTGTCATTGGTGTTACCTGAACGGAAGTGTGAGTTACATCTGTACTTACTGGGGAGAGACCTACGGACGGCATTGTAGGTTGGTGACAAATGGTATTTGAGGCACCCTCCTCTGTTCAAAGATGGTCTTTCCAGTTTGACATGGATGGCTTCCTTCACCCCTCTCTTAAACCATCTGTCCTCTCTGGCTAGAATGCGCACACAACAACCTATGAGTTCCTCAGATGAGACCCCACTAATATCTACAAATCAAAAGTGGTCAACTGCCTACACAAGCTGGAGAAGGAACGGCTTATTGACTGAGCTCTGTATTTCAAGCTATATCCAGGGGATGCTGTCCCTTGCATCTACGGGATGCCAAAAATACACAAAGAAGGTGCCCCTCTCAGACCCATTGTCATCTTCTTTTCAGGGGTTGCCACAGCAGATCATTGATTTCCATCTCTCCCTGTTCTCTGTATCTTCTACTCTGACTCCAACTACCTGCATGTCCTCCCTCACTGCATCCATATATCTCCTCTTTGGCCTTCCTCTCTTTCTCCTACCTGGTAGCTCCATCTCTAACATTCTTCTACCAATGTATCCACTGTCCCTCCTCTGCACATGTCCAAACCATTTCAATCTGGCTTCTCTAGCTTTTTCTCTAAACCTTCCTGTCTGTGTTGTCCCTCTAATGACCTCATTCCTGATCCTGTCCATCCTTGTCACTCCTAGAGAGAATCTTAGCATCTTTAACTCTGCCATCTCCAGCTCCGCCTCCTGTCTTCTGCCTATTGCTAGTGTCTCTAAACCATACATCATGGCTGGTCTCACCACCGTACTGTAAACCTTTCCCTTCACCTTAGCTGACACTCTTCTGTCACAGATCACTCCTGTCGCCTCTCTTCCACAGTCTCCTCTGCTCTGAACAGTTGATCCTAAGTACCTAAACTCCTGCACCTTCACCACCTCTGCTCCTTGTAACCTCACTATTTCACTGTTCTGCCGTTCGTTTACACACATGTACTCTGTCTAGCTACGACTGACCTTCATTCCTCTTCTTTCTAGTGCAAACCTCACCCTCTCTAGGTTCTCTTCTAGCTGCTGCCTACTCTCACTACAGATCACAATGTCATCTGCAAACAACATAGTCCATGGGGACTGCTGTCTGACCTCATCTGTCAATCTGTCCATCACCAAAGCAAACAAGAAGGGGCTCAGGGCCGATCCTTGATGTAGTCCCACCTTCACCTTGAAGTCATCTGTCCTTCCAACAGCACACCTCACTACTCTTGTACTATTCTCATACATGTCCTGCACCAAACTAACATACTTCTCTGCCACTCCTGACTTCCTCATACAAAACCACAATTCCTCCCTTGGCACTTTGTCATATGCCTTTTCTAAATTTACAAATACACAATGTAGCTCCTTCTGACCTTCTCTGTACTTCTCCATCAGCATCCTCAAGGCAAATATTGCATCTGTGGTACTCTTCCTGACATGAAACCATACTGTTGTTCACAAATCTCCACTTCCTGTCTCAACCTAGCTTCAACTCCTCTTTCCCAAATCTTCATTGTATGGCTCATCAATTTTATCCCTCTGTAGTTATTACAACTCTGTGCATCACCCTTCTTATAAATTGGCACCAGAACACTTTTCCTCCACTCATCAGGCATCTTGTCCGTCTCTAAAATTTTGTTAAACAACCTTGTCAGGAAATTTACCACCACTTCTCCTAAGCACTTCCATACTTCCACTGGTATGTCATCGGGACCAACTGACTTTCCACTCTTCATTCTCTTCAGGGCTTTTCTTACTTCATCCTTTATAACCTGATCTACCTTCTTCCTAATAGTTTCTGGTTCCTCATTTCTACTCTCAGACCCACTGTAAGCAGCATAAACTCAGTTACATAGAACTTGGCTAAACGCCTCGCTACACTCCTCTCTCCATTGGTGGGGGACACCCCACACCATATTATAAACTCAATGAATTTCACCACCAAAATCAGTCAGATCAAACTTGAGAAGAAACTGGCGTCTTACGATGTGACGTAACTTTTCACTTGCATCCCCAGTGGAGATGCAGTGCAAGCGGTAAAGAGAAAACTGCTGCTTGATGAGAACCACTCCCCTAAACAGTTGTGTGATCTTCTTGACCTATGTCTGAACACCACCTATTTCCAATATGACGAGGGTTTCTACATGCAGAAGCACGGCTGTGCCATGGGATCGCCAGTATCCCCCATTGTAGCTAACCTAAATATGGAAGAGATGGAGAGTGGAGCCCTAACAACTTTCAGAGGCCACTCACCAAGACATTGGTTCAGATATGTGGATGATACCTGGGTCACCATCAGGAAGGGGGAAGTTCACTGACCATCTCAATTCTGTGGATAGAAACATCCAATTCACGAGAGAGGATGTCAGGGACAACTGTTACCTTTCCTGGATTGTGTTGTGCACATGGAAAGAAATGGGGAACTCAGCCTGGAGGTATATAGAAAACCTACCCACACCGATCAGTACATTCTGCTTAATTCACATCATCCACTTAAACACAAATTGGGGGTGATCCGGACCCTTCAGCACAGAGCCCAAAGCATTCCCTCAGAATCAGAAGGGAAAAGAAGGGAACACAAACACATACACGCAGCACTCCAGAACTGTGGCTATCCAAACTGGGCGTTTGGTAAAACAGCCAAGAAGCCCAAGAAGGAGAAAAAAGATGATGAAGCCCAAAAGAGAAATAACATTGTCATTCCATATGTGGCAGGAGTTTCAGAGAAACTCAGTCAGGATCTTTAACACCCATCAGATCCTGGTGCATTTCAAACCCAGCAACACCCTAAGGCAGAAATTTGTCCACCCTAAAGACAAGATTGCCAGTCACAGACAGAGCAATGTGGTGTATGCAGTGCAATGCAATGAGGAATGCTCTGACCTGTACATTGGGCAAACAAAACAACCATTACACAAAGATATGGCTCAACACAGGAGGGCCACAACATCAGGCCAGGACTCAGCAGTCCACCACCACCTGAAGGAGAAGGGCCACTTCGATGATCAAAAGGTGCGCATTCTAGCCAGAGAGGACAGATGGTTTGAGAGAGGGGTGAAGGAAGCCATCCATGTCAAACTGGAAAGACCATCTTTGAACAGAGGAGGGGGCCTCAGACACAATTTGTCAACAACCTACAATGTCGTCCTTAAGTCTCTCCCCAATAAGTACAGACGTAACTCAAACTTCCGTTCAGGTAACACCAATGACCCCCACCCAGAAGACAGGGAGGGGGAACAATTCACCATGGGGCCAACGACTCACATGACCATTTAAAGGTCATATTGTTTTGAGCCCTGGGGCACTTTTTTCGACACTACACCCCTCTTTGGAGTGGATAGATAAAGACCTGGAAACTCCCCACCAGGACAGTAGAACTGATGAAGCCTCTTGGATGAGAGGCAAAACGTCTTCAATTTACTTGAAGTCCAGTTGCCTACTTTTAAAACTGCTTTTGAAAAACAGAATATTGTTTATTAATGTAAAAACGTACGTTACATCACCGTATTAAGTCAATTTCTCGTCTAAGGTTGGTGTATTACAGGCAATATTAGGCAGTTCAATTCATTTCTTGTGGAATTCCAACTTACCCCTGATCCAGACAGCAGAAATTGACAACCAGCCAATGGGACAAGTAATGCAGTGACAAACCTATAAGAGGATATACAAATGGTGACAAAATTAAAATCTCTCATACTGTCTTTTACGAACTGAGTAATCATGATTTGGTGCAATTATTGGATTGTTACATATACAGCTTTGTCAAATAAAACTGTAACTGCAATACCATTTTTTTAACTATATAATGTTCCTCTCTTGGCTGCTCCCATCAAGGGTTGCCACTGCCAACTGCAGTGTTAAACATAAACCATGCAAACCAAAAATCAGAAATTTGGTTTACAGGTTTTCTGTACATTCTGTAGTTTGTAGAGTTTGAAACATTTCCTATCACCAGCCTTACTCTATTTTGTTATTAGATTTCATTTTACACATTTTGTGCCATAATTTCTTTCTTGAGGGTCCATACCATAATTTCTGGACTATGAGCCGCTACTTTTTTCACATGCTTGAAAAAAAAAATCTTTGAGTAAAAAACCCATGTAACAACGTGGACACCTGAGGCTTACAGAGGAGTGCTGCATATATATGTACAATTATTTTTTTCTTTTTAAATTTAGTGGGTGCGGCTTATATCCAGGTGCGCTCAACAGTCCGTAAATTACGGAAATTACTTACTCATTATGTCCCAAACAGAAAGACTGGATGTTGTATGGAGACCTGCGATGACTCACTCTGATCTTCCCTTCACAATCAGCGGTGATAATGTAATTATCATCCAGCGACAATGTCTGAAAAAAACATGCAGCATTTTGCTTCTCAAACTGAACTTTGAATTGTGTGCGCACATTGTGTGCAGCCAGCGCCAGAGCGGGAGAGGGAGAACGAAAGACAAAGAGAAAGACAGTGGGAGAGAGAGGCATTAGGGTAATAGGCAGAACTGAACCACAGGTGTGAATACATGGTTTAAGCATCTTTAAAAGTATAATCTTAGACTACAAAACTACCTAAATATCACAATAAGATTGAATGCATCTTAGAAGGTGCACACACAAATTAGGGTTTTTTGGGTTTTTTTTTTTCTCTGTTTCCTCTGCCTTTAACCCAAACGGCTGCATGTATCGGTATTGGCTGATATTGGGAGCAGAAATTAAGTTTTGGACAATATTGGCATATTTAATATCGGGGGGAAAAAAGTAAATATAGGACATCCCTAGTTTCTTGTTTGAAACAGGCTTAAAATCTTTTTAGATTCTTCAGAATTCAGAATGATTTGTACACAGTAAAAGGTATCAAACTTAGTATTTGGTTATACAGACTAGCGTTCCTTACGATATTTAGCAACATGGACAGTTGTCCCATCTTCAGTTCACCTTCCCTCTGTGGCTCGACCACAGAGAAAGAGTACACGTCTCCTGATTTGTCAGCCACCAACAGCTCGTCCTCGGCATTAGTGAACACAAGAGCCGTACACTTCCTCACCACAAACCTAAGCAGGTCACACAAGGCTGTCAGTACCATACCACTACCAATTTACAATTTGCTAAATAATAATAATAATAACAACAACAATTTTTTCTTGCAATCTTTTTTTATCTTGTTTTTTATTGATGTCAGGCCAGAACAATAAATGTACTTAAATGGTAAAGTATATATACAGTGCCTTGAAGTTTTCATTGCCCTTCAACTTCTTCACATTTTGTCACCATTTAGAGACAAAATGTGTGTAGTAGCCTTAGTTTATTTAATGAAAAAAAAATGCAATTGGTCTACTTGTTTTGTCGGGTTTCTTTTCTTTTTCCGTTTGTTTTGGTTTCAGCTACTTTGACTACTCAACACACAATTTAGAGCATCAAACAAGCGCACAGTAGAGACAAAGACCCGCACATGCGCTGTCTGTTATTGGTTTAGACCACAACATGATCCCACCATGTAAATGTATGTTTTCACCCAGGCAGTTTGTTTTCACAAGTGAAATAGCAGTTGCACTGTTAAACATTTTGGTTACACTCTGGAGTCCTGCGACTTATAGTTGTCCTGTGGACAAATCCTCCCCTCAAGCTGTGGATTTCTGTAGTTCCAGAACAGGCAAGGGCAAACTACAGCCTGGGACCCACCAAACTCTTTATCTTAGTTCACAAGAACACACCATCTAGCTGCTCCTGACCTGCTCAATTTCAGGACAATTTTGGCCCGCAAGTCAAAAAGTTTGCCCAAGCCTGCTCCAAGTGCTCTCTTTGCTGATTCTGTGAGTTTTAATGAACAGATATGTCCTGGTAGGTTTTTTTTCTGTTGTTGTTGTTTTCATAACTAAGCCCTTATCTCAACTTCTCCAAAACTTTATCCCTGACCTGTCCGGTGAGTTCCTAGTCCTCAAAATACTGTTTGTTCACTAGTTTCTCCAAAAAAAAAAAAACCCACTGAGGCCGCTGTGACAACCTTTACAAAACAGGTGTATTTATACCGAGACCAAATTACAGAGAGGGGGAATCAAAGGGTATTGATTGCACAGGATTTTCTTTTTGGGATTTTTTCTTAAAATTTCGTAAAACCATATATATTTTCATTCCATTTAACAATTATATGTTACTTTGTGTTGGTCTATCACATACAATCACATTAAAGTACATTTATGATTGTGATTGTAAGGTGTCAAAATAAGAAAAGTTCAAAAGGTTTGAACACATTTTCAAGGCACTGTACATTAAGTAACAGGACTCACCGCTACTTATTTATTGCCAGTACCGCTTCATTGCTTTACCCAAAAATGTATATATTATATATATATATATATATATATATATACATACACATATATACATATATATGTACTGTACATATACACATATATACACACAGTTATTGCAAGCATCGGTGTGATATTAATAATAGAATCGAGATACCAATCACCATCTCCATCTGTCAGAGATCTCTCACAGTAATACTTTTAAAAGGTCTTCTTTCCATCAGCTATTAATTATGTACTTATCTCTAGTAGTATTCATCACAATATAAAATCTGGGTTTGTACCTGATGCTGACACACTTCCATGAATGTTCACAGTGAAATAAGACCACTCTCTTGCAGTTATCAGCCAGTGCCACTAATTTTCCAGAAGGTGATACAGTGAATGCAAGGATGTCATCACTTTTTGTATCTTCTGAAGCACCTTTGTTACTGAAAACAGAAACAAGGGACTATGAGTAAAATATTTTGATAGAGTATTTGTGATGATGGTCACACCGATTGTAATTTCAATATCAACAATGTTTTTTTTTATTATTATTATTTAAAGATAGGTATCACCTGAAGTTATATACCTGTCGCTGTCGTCCTTGGCTGTCTTTGCCTTCTTCTCAGCAATGCTGCAGTCAAAGACATAAGAGTCTCTGCAAAAAGAACATCAATTTAAACGTTGGTTTACTTGAAAAATACAATAAAACACATACTGTGCGAGGTATTCCAAAACACCACAACACAACTAAGCATGGCACTACTTGGAGGAGTACATCAGTGAAGTGTTCCACTTCTAGAGGAAAATCGAGCAAGGGGTTTTTATAAATAAAACAGAAAGATCAGAAATAAAGGAAACACCAAGTTTAGACGAAACGGCCACGGGTAAAAGATGCCTAAGTTAATTGTCAGATAACGCCGCTGACTAAAACATGATACGCGGAGGACAAAAACACATGGAATGTACTTAAACACGCCTCAGACCTGCTTTGTTTGCTGTGGACTGCTAGAAGTTTGCTACCGCAACTTAGAAGACACCAATCTCCACAAAAACCGATTGCAGCAGCCATTGCTGTTTGACGGTAAGCACGCTTAAGCATGGGAACCACGGCGTCGCAGAATATTTGCGTCAAACTACGCAACATCCGATGACACACCCGTTAGAGGGGAGATGAGAATTACGTTACGGTTAACATAGTAACTCCACTTTTACTTGCACAAATAAAAGAAGTCAACAACTCCATCCTAAATAAACTAGTAATGGAACGCTCATACTGGGTTATTAATAAAATACAATAACCTTCACAATAAAACTGTACACTTCCCGTCTTACGAACAATACTTAACAAAGCTCAAATGAGAGCAGCCATAACAAAACAGGTTACGGTAACTACAAAAATCCAAACAATAATACATCATAACTAGAACAAGGTTTTAGTTGATAACTTTTATGTAGAAACTGGAAACATTTTAAAATTTGAGGTAACAAAGTATTTCAAAGAGTGTGGAGCTTCACTAAATAAATCCGGGGGGGGGGGGGGGGGACTAATTTGGGAAAAACTGACTTCACTTAAATTTCACCTAAAAATGATCTGAAAATGATTTACAGGATCTACAAAAAGACAAATTAAATGACATTTACAGAATAAAAGTAGAAGGAGTTTTTTTTGTTGTTGTTAGGTCAAGAAGTTAAGTTTGAGGAAGTTGGTTGGAGGAAGGGGAACAAAACGCAGTATGTTTCTTTCAACAAAAAAAGGACACAGTAAATCCAACTCCATTCAAAGGCTCAATATTAAAAATATTATGATCCCCCCAAAAAAATATTGCTCCACATTTTATAGAAATTTGGGTGAATCGCAATACAATACATCTGTAACTGACATCTTTTTTGCACATCTCACAGAAACAAAATCAATCAGTGATGACCAAACATGTATGTGTGATAGCCCCTTAGCTCCTAATGAAATCCTATTTGCCGAAACCCAATATAGCTCCAGGTTTTGAAGGCCTAACGTCTGAATTCTACATTGCTCTTAGGAACAGCTAGCCCCCTTTCTCCACTGTTTATTTGTAGAAACAACATACATTGATATTCAAACTTTTACTTCCACTTTATGTTAAGGTCCTCTAACTTTAATTTAAAAAATCCACGTTTGATTGATAACTGGTGACTTTAATAACAATTACAAAAACTTAGGTTGAATTTTTGCCACAAGAACAAAAATGTTATTATTGACAAAACTCAAAGAGGTTTTATGATGCAGAGACACATAGCTAATAACATCAGCCTTGTACTAGACCTTATTGATTTTGCTGATGTTTGCATTTGAGTTTTTTCCTCTGGTGTTCCCCAGGGAGCAATGTCCACTAAGGTACTGCAGTTTGTGTTGTTTGCTGACAAGAAATATTTTCCAGTCTGGGGAAATTTGTAGAAATTACTGAAGGACATCAATATAGAAATGAAACTAAAAATATGATAAAACAATGCATGCTTGATAAATGTAGGAAATAGACTATTAAGTTTATACCTCACTTATGTGATAAAATTGATTTTTGGGATAATAAAAAATAGCCTCACTTGATCACATTTCTTTAATGAAAAAACAAAAAACAAAAGGTCTTTAAAAATATGGAGTAGCAAAGAACAACATTAATCCATGGTAGAAAGAGAAGTAGGATACAGGGACTGAAAACATTAAAGACTATGTCAACAGAGAAGAATCAATGTGTGTAAAAAACGTGAGACCTGAGTTTGCAACAATAAAAAACGATCTGCCTAGATTTCAAGATTTGGCTTTCAGTGCTTTGTAGGCTAACTGTTCAATTAGACTGTGCAGAGGTAAGACGAGGCTGACCCCTCACCTGTTCCTGATCTGCACTTTATTATTTACAATTACTTTAAATTAAAGGTTAAATTCAACAACCTCAAAGGTATTTCTATTGCTGATAAAGCGATCATCATCAGTCAATTAGCTGAAGATACCACTTTGTTTTTAAAGGATGCTTCATAGATTTCTTTAGTCATCGACACTAAAACGTTTTCTAGTGCCTCTGGGCTCTGTCTAAGTTAGTTCTCATAAAACTATTATGCATCCTCCATTTCTAATATTCCTGTAAAAGATTCCATCACCAATCTTGGCATAACTTGTCAACAAAAATCAAAATATTAGACGCTCTATTAACTTAAACCTCTATAGTTAAAGGTACAAAAAATAACTCATGGCTTCAAATAGAGTTGTCAATTAGTGGAAGAATTGTTGTAATCAAAGCAAAAGGCATTTACTATTTAACCGATGCAGTCCTATCGCTTGCTGTGAACAAACAAAAAAACTGAACTCTTTGATAACATGCAAATTTGTGAGGAAAATTAAGACATATTATATTAGAAAAAAAGTTTAAGTCTTAATAAACTCATATGAACATGGTGGCCTGAACAATATCTTTATAACCAACAATTTTAAACAATTTTCTCAAAAACCCATGGTTGAAATTGATTGGTTTTCCACCAAATTATTTATTTTCAAAAAATAATTGGTCTTAAATTTTAATTAATTTGTACACTACAATGTTGAAGAAATGTCCTTAAAGTTGTCTTAAACTTTCATAAACAACTGCTTCTTCCCTGATCTTTAATTTACAAATACTGGACACCCCATGGCGCATCCATTTTTTTTTTTTCTGTAAAAACTGTTGTTGAACTGTAAATAGGTGGTGGTTAAGCAGAGGTCTAGAAGGGTGCATATCTGGTCTGGAGTTAAGGCAGTTCTGTCAGTTAAAGCCTTTTAGCAAGTCTTTTTTGGTTATGTTGATGGCATCAGAAGTTGGAATGCAAGTAAAGAGTAAAGTGACGTCAAATGAAACCATTGTCTCGTCTGGTTCTCGTCTGGAATTCTTTAATTTTGTTAGCAAAGACCAGAGTATTTCTTTATACAGTATGATGTGTTCCTGGGCAGTGGTGCTAATATATTAGATAGATGTTTAGCAATGTTGTATGTGACCGAATTAATGCTGCTGATTACGGGGCTAAAAGGAGCACCCATCTTATGCACTTTAGGAAGTCCATAGATGTGTGGAATGGAGTCACCAGGGTACAGTTTGAAATATTGGTTCTGGTTAATAATATTGTTTTTTGATTAACTTGTAAACAGTCCACCGCTCTCTTCTTGTACCCAAACGGGTCCCGTTTCAAAGTATCCTATGTGTTGTGGTCACTAAGGAGTGTGTTAATGTGTTGAGGACAACTGTACATCTCACTTTGTCCGCCGGTAGAATGGTGACATCCGAGTCCCTTTGGAGTGATGTCAGTACTTTCCTCTCCTGTAGAGAGATGTTAGATGGAGGTGCTTTAGCACTGGCTGACACTTTCAGCCTGAGCTGTTCTGCCTCTGTGTTGGACAGTTTGTTATTTTTGATTGCTGTTTCTGTTGCTGTAATGAGATCCAACACCGGCAACTGTGTAGTAGTGATAGCAATGTTGAGACCTTTTGCTAAAACGTTTTTTCATCTTTCATCTTTTTCAGGATGGGTTAAGGTCCTGGCAGAAAGGTTCTTGACCCAGTTTTCTGTTTTTTTCTTGTGTAAAGGGCTGTTCTTCCTTCTCCATGCCAGTTCGGAAGTTTGGGGTTGGTGTCTTGATTGAAGAAGAAAAAAACGTACGTATCTGGCATTCTTTACTTGAGTGTTGGGACTCCTGTGCCCTGTCTATGAATTGGCTGACTTCTTCTAATACCTCTGAAGGAAGGTGTGATTCTAATTCCTCATGGAGTTTTTCTGCCTGTGTTTTGAGTGCATTGATGGTGAAATTGATCTGTCTCACTTTCGTTGGTTCTGTGCTTACTTAAAGATTCTTTAGGCCCGATGTCCTTTCACTGAAGAACCCAAACGAAGGATAGGGGAATGATACCTACACAGACATCTAGAAATCTTAGTTTTTCACCTTGCACACACCTCCTATGCAACTTAAGGTTGTGGAGTCTTTTTCTTTAAGAGAGTCTTAAAGGCAAACACATACGTAAACTCTAGATCCCATGATGATATTTTAGGGTTTTGGAGACCAGTGGTTCTTGACTCTCAGGATCAACCTCAATGGACAGCCAGATCTCGGCAAGTTGGCAGTTGTTTTGAAATCCCCCTATTTGTAGATGGTTTTATGGACAGATACTCCCCATGCTGTTCACTTTCACTTCAGCAGTAAGGATAACACCAAACTAGATGTCTGAAGTATAAATAATGAGAGCCTTCTCCAAAATGTTGTAGAGCAGTGCTCTAAACCAGGAGTGAGAACTATATGTCCCGTGGTTCAATCATGCACAAACACTTTATGTTCGTGAAGTTTTGTCAAATTTCATTCATTCATATTCATTAAATATGAAGATTTTTGAATAAACTTTTCGTTTGCATGAAAACAAAGGAAAAAAACATGGACCTGTTTTTTTTTGGTAATGATTGTACTGGTCCACTTGACATCTTAACAGGCCCCTGAACCAAAGTGAGTTTGTCAACCCTGCTCTAAACACATGGGCATGGCAGGATATATGTGTTTGCAATTTGGACTGCAAATTTAAGTTGTGATAAATGTGGAGTTATCCTAACTTTATCCTCAGTTAGAATATGCCAATGCTACTTAATAATTAGTAATAATTATTCATAATTTCACTAACTTCTTGATTGAAGAAAGTGTGACAAAATATTATAAGTTACATATGGAAAGTGCATCCCAGATGAATATGAAACTTTTAATCCACTGCCACAACCAGCATGTCTGCTGTTAACACAAGAATTCCAAAATATGGGTTCAATAAAATTCAAATTATTAATTATTAAAGTCCCAATGTTTTACTTAGAAAACAAAAATTGATTTGTTAAGTCTGACTGCTTCCCTATATTGACCTTGGTTCCCTGATACCATTTTTAAAACAATCAGTCACAAATTCAGGGGTAATTATGGACTCAGAGTTTATTTTATAAATCCAAAAGAAACTTGGTCCTACGAAATAGTTTCTTTCATTTGAAAGGGGTGGCTAAATAAAAAAACTGGTTTTATTCTGTCTAGGGCTGACACTGACAAAATAATCTCTGCTTTTATCACTGTATGGTGTTTTATCATTTTTTTCAACAGTCACCTTGGAATAAAGAATAAAACAGAAAATGAACAACATTGTTCGTTTTAAAGAGTTTATTGGAAAATGTATTGATGTTGAAGTTGTTAACGAAGCTTTAATGAAGCTTAGGGGCACAGGTCTTACAGAGAGCAACACAAGCACTATGAGCGCAAGTTGGCCTCAGTACCATCGCCACTTGTGAGATTATCTGGCCTAACAGTAATTCACAAACAAGGTCTATGTGCAATTTTTAAGGCCTTGCTATACAAAACTTTAGACCACTATACAGATTTTATCCTTTCATATAATGAAATATATATATTTTTATTTCTATTGATTTATTTTAAGTGTGTTCATGAATTTATATTTATTTATATAAATATTTATTTGTTTTAGTAGCTTTTAATATATGTTTTATTTAAGTGTGAAGTACTTTGTTTCAACTCTTTTCCGTTGTTTTTTTTTTTTTTTTTGGAAATGTGCCGGAAATCAAACATCCTGACTGGTGAAGATGTGTTACATAAGCTCCTGTTATATTTTATCAGCTCATATGGTGCCTCTGCGAAATTTGACCTCTGCATTTAACCCATCACCAAAGTGATGCTCAGAACACCTCAGTGGTAACTTGGCTCGAACCTGAAACCTTCCAGACCCAAGTCCGCATCCTTAACCACTAAGCCACCACTGCCCCGTAAGGATCCATTATCAAATATACTAGTCTATATTTGGCCAGACTACAATAAACATATCTTGAATGATGTCTGATTATTAAGTGTAACATGAATTTAAATATTTGCTGAACTAAATATAATATAAACATGTTTTTTACTATCTATACCAAAATCATCTGCAAATATCTTGTACAATAAGGGATAAGGAATCTGAGAGTAAAAAACATAAAGATTGTCTCTGGTGTGTTTTATTATTATTCAAATGAGTGATAAAACAACACAGCACTATCATAGTGATAAAGGACAGGAATCTCAAAACACAATTACAACTCCATATTTGGCTTAAATCTCAACATGGGGTGTAACCAAGGTGTGACTTCTCCACAAACACTAAAATGCCAAATCTCCCGAGAGGTCAGAGATGAAAGCTTCATTTTTCATTTAAGAATGAAATTTTAGTTTATAAGGCCAATTGAGGCACTGATTAACAGAAGATTCAAGAACTAGAATAGTAGAATGTTTTTTGCTTAGGCATAATTTATTTTGGGTAAAAACCGTTGTGTGTTCTGTAGGAGAAAGGCTATTCTATCTGGTCTTCTCTTTAATTCCCTCAATTAAGGTTCTTCGCTTAAGGTTGGTAAATAACAGTGCTAAGTTGATAATATATGTTGATACGCAGACAATGCAGAAATCCCCAAGAACAAAGGCAAGAATAGAGGCAAGGTAGATGGAGCCAGCCACTGACACCCAGGAGGAGAAGACCAAAAACAGTGCTGCCTTCTTAGAACATGACAGGCCTGTGAAAAAACAAACAAACATAAGGATGTCAGATATTAAACATGATACCAGTAATACAAGATAATTAATGAAAAGTCTGAGACTTAATGGGTCACGTTAATACATTTATCACAGACACAAAACGAATAAAACAGAAAGTTATGATGAAGCAAGCAAAAACCGCGGCCAGTGCGGGCTTGTCAGATATCAAAAATTTTATTTTTGACTAGGTAAACTGGGTTAGAGATATCTGCAATACATATCCAACTTGGCGTTTAAATGTTAATACGGCTTGCCATAAGTGCCAACATGTCTGCGGTGAGGTCAATAGGGTGAAAAGTCCACTCACAGAGTCTGTCAGCACACATTTTACTGAGTGTGTATCTATTCGGATCCCCTGCACTCGTTCTGACAGTACTTAGTCCGCATTATAACGATCATTACTTGGATGCGGAATTAAAGCAGCTCACACAAGAAATGATCCAGTGCTCTGAAGTTTAGTCCTACCTATAATTTTTCCATACCAGTAGCGGAAATTTATAGCTTTATCTGAAGTTTTTTCCTACCTATAGTTTCTACCTACCAGTAGCGGAAATTTATAGCCATATCTGCCATATCTGCCATTTGAGTTCAGGGTGGTAGCACATTATTATACACATTAAATCCCCCTAATTACATGGTTATCACTTAGTTCAGGGTGGTAGCATATTACTGTAAACATCAAATCTCCATAAATACCTGCTTATCACTGTGTTCAGAGTGGTAGCATATTATTGGAGGCTACACAGAAAAGCCCTGTAAATCTCTCAGGGTTAAGGGTAGCACTGAATTTATTTTCTTTACATTTACATCTGAAAACCAGCCACTAGGGTACTCTAGGGTACACAAGCCAGTGCTACTATAGTGATACTATAGTGCCGTTCCCAAGCCCGGATAAATGGTGAGGGTTGCGTCAGGAAGGGCATCCCGTGTAAAACTTTAAGCCAAATCAAATATGTGAATCACTAAGATGATTTCCATACTGGATCGGTCGAGGCCCGGGTCAACAATGACTGCCAATAATGCTGTTGACCTACAGGGTAATGGTGGAAATTGGACTACTGTAGAGAAAAGATGAAGAATAGAAGTGTTAGTCTGAAGTTTGGAACTTTGAATGTAGGTACAATGACAGGGAAAAGTAGAGAAATAGCTGATGTGATGGAGAGAAGAAGAGTAGATATTTTGTGTGTGCAGGAGACCAGGTGGAAGGGCAGTAAGGCTAGAAACATTGGAGGAGGCTACAAACTGTTTTATCATGGTTCAGATGGGAAGAGAAATGGAGTAGGGGTGATCCTAAAGGAAGAATATGTAAGAAATGTGGTAGAGGTGAAAAGAGAGTCAGACAGGTTGATGTGTGTGAAGGTAGAAGTAGAAGGAGAGATGATTAATGTTGTTAGTGGTTATGCCCCACAGGTGGGCTGTGAGTTGGAAGAAAAGGAGAAGTTCTGGAAGGAGCTAGATTGGATGGTAGAGAGTATCCCCAGGAGAGAGAGAGTGGTGATTGGAGCAGACCTAAATGGTCATGTAGGGGAAGGGAACAGAGGAGATGAGGAAGTGATAGGCAGGGTTGGTGTTAGAGAGAGAACCGTAGAAGGACAGGCAGTGGTAGATTTTGCAAAGAGAATGGAAATGGCTGTGGTAAACACATATTTCCAAAAGAAAGAGGAACATAGGGTGACTTACAAGAGTGGAGGCAGGTCCACACAGATAGATTATATTCTATGTAGAAGATGTAATCTGAGGGAGATTAGAGACTGTAAGGTGGTGGCAGGTGAGAGTGTAGCCAAACAACATCGGATGGTAGTGTGTAAAATGACGATGGAGGTGACAAAAAGGAAGAGAGTGAAGACAGAGCAGAAGATCAAGTGGTGGAAACTAAGGAAAGAGACATGTTGTGAAGACTTCAGGAAGGAAGTAAGGGCAGTTCTGGGTAGTGTTGAGATATTCCCAGATGATTGGGAGACTACAGCTGCAGTGATTAGGGAGACAGGTAGGAAGGTGCTAGGTATGTCCTCTGGGCAGAGAAAGGAGGACAAAGAGACCTGGTGGTGGAATGATGAGATCCAGGAGAGTGTGCAGAGAAAGAGATTAGCGAAGAACAGATGGGACAATGAGAGAACAGAGGAGAACAGACTGGAGTACAAAAAGAGTACAAGGGAGGTGAAGAGGGAAGTGGCCAAGGCCAAACAAAAGGCATATAAGGAGTTGTACGAGAGTTTGGAAACAAAGGAAGGAGAAAATGAGTTGTATAGATTGGCGAAACAGAGAAATCAAGCTGGGAAGGATGTGCAGCAGGTGAGGTTGAATAAGGACAGAGATGGGAATGTGTGCTGAGAAGATGGAAGGAATACTTTGAGTTGTTGAATGTGGAAAATGAAAGGGAACTTATGAATGAGGGGCCAGAAACTATTAGGAAGAAGGTAGATCAGATCAGAAAAGATGAAGTAAAAAAAGCCCTGAAGAGGATAAAGAGTGGAAAGTCAGTTGGTCCTGATGACATACCAGTCGAGGTATGGAAGTGCTTAGGAGAAGTGGCGGTAGATTTCCCGACTAGGGTGTTTAACAGAAATTTAGAGACGGACCAGAAGCCTGATGAGTGGAAGAAAAGTGTTTTGGTGCCAATTTATAAGAAGGGTGATGCACAGAGTTGTAACAACTACAGAGGGATAAAGTTGAAGCAATGGGCCTAATCATTGGCATAATAATTTCTTTCGGTTTTGGCCAAGCATGTAATTTTGGTGCATCACCAACTGTTGTCATTCTCTGTGCAGTTAGTAGGTTGAACCATACCAAGGGCTAAGAGGTTGTTTCAATGTCATTCTTTCATGGACACTATGAATAATTTGAACTGAGAACCAGTCTAAGACAGAGATGCTTATTCTAGAAAAAATATGGGTGCCAGGAGAAACATGAGGAAAAAAGATTTTCAGTTAAATTTGAAATTCTCAGGGAAAGACAAAGAAGCACATTTTCTGGATATTTTTGGAATAAAAACATGTAGTTTCATTAGCCAAATCACAGGCCAAATATAATTTTATCATGTCCAGCTGGCATATAAGAAGTCTTATAACAGTACCTCAGAGACGCTTTCAAGCTTCATAGAAGAACACTAAGCAATGCAGAAAATCTGAAGCAGTTGATGGGAGACTAACCGAGGCACATCTGCACAGTGTAGAAAATGATCCCAAGTACACTGTTGGGTTGGTTCAGAGGGTTATCATTAGCCACAAAAAACTGGACCAAACCAAAACCACGTCCCCATCTGTAACAAATGGAAAATTACAACACCTTACAG